AAGGCACAAATGAGAATGTAAAGCAGGAATGGTGACCATAAAACGAACAGAAAGGTTGTTTTATTAATGCCTTGACCCAGTCTGGGCTACATGTGATCTCAGAACCACAGCAACGTAATTGACTCTTAACTGCCCTATGAAATGGCTGAGCAAGTCACTCAGTGCAACAAATGCTGGCCGTGCTCATGATACCTACATCTTATGAGAGAATAAGTGATTGATTATATGTTGCATTCTTGTGAAGAAGTTAAACAATCAAAAGTTTACTTTGCTGTGTTCCAACAATTAGAGAATCAGTGTCTACTGCCAAAACTACCAGAGTGAGCAAATGAAGGAAACATGCAGAGGCATTCAAAACTCTTATCTGTGCATTTTTCGGTAAAAGAGAGAAGGATCTCATTGTAATACAATGACAGTATGATACATGTTAATGACATGAGCAGCAGTTAGGTGGAAGATCAAGTTCAGAAAGAGCATGTGGTAATGATATAATGACATACGTGGACTTTACATAGTTGAACCACTTGTTGGAACCACCAGACTGAGACCATGCTTTACGGATTGGAAAGATCTTTGGTGTGTCATAGAGTCATACATCGTGGAAACAGACACTTGGATCTAATTCGTCCTTGTCGACAAAGTTTCCAAAACAAAACTAGTCCCATTTGCCTGCATTTGGTCCATATCTCTTTAAATCTTTCCTATTCATGAACCTGTCCAAATGTTTTTGAAATGTTGCAACTGTACCTGCATTTACAACTTCCTCTGGCAGCTCATTCCACCTACGAACCACCCTCTGTGTGAAAAAGCTGTCCCTCAGGTCCCTTTTAAATCTTTCTCCTCTCACCTTAAAAATATGCTCTCCAGTTTTGAAATACCCCAACCTAGGAAAAAGACCACTGTTATTCACCTTACCTATGCCCCTCATCATTTAAAAAAAACCTCCATAATTTCATCCCTCAAACTCCTATGCCCCAGGGAAAATAGGCCCAGCCTATTCAGCCTCTACTTGTGACTCCTCCCAACTCCTTTACTCAATGGTGTGAGCAATGAAAGCAAGCATGCCAAATGCATTCTTAACCACCCTGTCTACCTGTGATGCATCTTTCAAAGAACTATGTACCTGAACTCCTAGGTCTCTCTGTTCGTCAACCCTCTCCAGGTTCCTCCCATTAACCATATGAGTCCTGCCCTTTACATCTACCAAAATGCAGCTCCTCGCATTTATCCAAATTAAACTCCATCTGCCACTCCTCAGCCCATTGGCCCAATTGATCAAGAGTCCTTTGCAACCTTAGATAACCTTCTTAACTGTCCATTATACCACCAATTTTGGTGTCATCCGCAAACTTACTAACCATACTTCCTAAATTCTCATCCAAATCTTTATATAAATGACAAACAACAGTGGACCCAGCACCAATCCCTGCGGAACACTGCTGGTCACAGGCCTCCCCCAATACCCTCTGTCTCCTACTGTCAAGCCCTCCCTGAATCCCGAGTGCTCTAACTTTACTAATCATTCCACCATGTGGAACCTTAAAATCACTTGATACAAGTTTTCATAGGTACAGAATACCAAAATGTGCTGCATTACAAAATACATGTTATTTGGAGGCACAAAAATCTGTAGATCGGAGGAGAAATGTTTAATGGCAGAGTCAGGTGCAGTTGGACACAATCATTTCATTGGAATCCATTTGAAGTGAGTTAATTGAGGATCTGTCAATGGATTAATGTTCTCTTTCTGACTGAGAAAATTAGTCACGGCCTGTTCAGTTTATCCTGACGGTTATAGGTCCTGGCATCATTCTTAGAAACCATTTTTGAAGTTTTTCCTTCCTCCATGCTTTGTTAGCATGGGTAAAGATTGAGAAATTTACTTTACAAGTTTGGATAAAAACAGCACATTCGATTAGAATGGCTAGGTCAAGTCTGTCATAACACCTACCCGACATTTAAAAGCACATTTTAAAGTAGATGGCAATTTTGAATGGAGTGTTTTTGAAAATGCCTCACTTCACCCCAGCCCTTTTCTCTGCCCTGACTGAGTTCTCTGACTGGAATATTTTTTCTTTTGTTTAAATTAGTTTTCTGAACAGACTTGAACTTAATCTGTTAATTGCTAATTTACTTGTGCTCTTCATGTGATCTGAAACTTTCATGCATTTGCAGCTTAAAAATGAGTCTCTAAAGCCAATGAGTTTGCTGAACTCTTAATTGCCCAGTGACCATATCACTTGATATGAAAGGATGTCAACTATATATACATTTTCACCCATTGCTCATCTTTTAAATTTGGTGTAAAAATAAAGCACTCAAGGCAAATAAAGTGCATATTCAACTAATCAAAATGGTTGTGCTGCTTTATTACTGAGTTCAGTTGATTTGAATCAAAGTGTGACGAATTCAACACCACAATTTACTCATCAGATATTCTCTTTCCTAGCAAATAGCTTTCTAGCGCTGACCTTTATCTCCTAATGTCTTGCAGTAAGCTGCTAAGGTGTTGCCAGGTTAGTACTGTGACTCCTGACAGGTAAGCCTTACTCAGCTGACAGAAATCCCAAAGTGAGCCTGGTGGATCAGGTAGGAGGAGTCATTAATCTGATATCTTCCCCATCACACTATTATAACTTGCAAGCCCTGCACTTGCAACAAGGACACGTGCTCATCCTTCTGAATACTGCATTGCCAAGGATTTAGTCAGCACAGAAAAGGTACCAGACTATGGGATGCTCTCTCATTAGAGGGAAAGAGACAACTGGTGGGCTTTTTTAACCCAAGGGTCACATGCCTCAGGCAAGCAGAGAGTTTGAGAAGGAGACTCCTTCATGGTAACCTCAGCCAGTGCGGGAATTGAACCCAAGCTGCTGGCATCGCTCTGAATTGCAAACCAGCCAACTGAGGTTTCTTTTAATAAGGAAAATGATTCCATTGCTTCTTAGAGTAATGTGCAGCTACTGCAGGACAAGTGTGATATTGCTTAAGGATGCAAATTTAGACGGTGTTTCAAAACAATACTTTCCATCATAGACAACCATTGCTTGGCATAAATATTACAAGACTTTTGGGACATTGTGGCTCCACCAATTGAAGGTAGCCTACAACTGCAAGAGTGTTGCAAGGTAATCTCAGATCCAAGTACTTTGCCAGTGGATTTGAAAATGCTACGAAATAGGTGATCAATGAAAGCAGTACTAGTATATTGAGACAAGAGATGTGCATAACTCTACTAACAAAGACATGTTAGCAAACAAAGCGTCTGGGCCAGAAGATTGAAATGTTCTGCTTCATAGAAGGTAGATTTTTGGTAAACAGTGTAGGCCACCACAGGTGTCACCACAGTGTATACAAGAGTATGAGTCAAGAGTAATTTGTTGGATATTGCAACAAAATGTTATAGTTTAAATTATCTGTGCAGCAGGTAGATGAAAGAGCTTTTATCATTTCACTCTTTATTCGTAGAACAGTTAAAAAAAAAAAGCTCCCAACTCTGGTTTATCCTGCTATCCAATTGACATGTCTTTGACGGCATATTTCCTTAATGTGGCGCACTATGTAGCACAGTGAACTAAATGTTGGTCTGCCAGCTGTACGATTCTACATTTATAACAGGAGTTGGTGTTCATACCAGTTAATCAACTGACAAGACACTTTACCAGAAAATAAATCAATCACAGTGCCATGCTTTCTTTGTATACAAGTCTTCCTCATTTAATTTAGTGGTTATATAATGGATTGATTCTATTTATACACAGAGCAATAAAACCGATCATTATTGTTACCAACTAATTAGATCATTTTATTGACTTTTTTTATGCACTTCAGTGGCTTGTTCTTTAATGAGTTTCCTACAGTATATCTGCCAGCAGTGTTCAACTGTTTCGAACAAAAACAAAATATATTCTTTCTTAAAATATGCTGAACGTTTTGATCGGTAAAGTTGAATTTCAACTCACTATTTGATTTTGACCCACTGATTGCATTATGAGAACTGGTTTGAAATCAGAGAGCCCTGGACAATTAATCATCATTAATCTGCATAATTACATGGTGAACTTACAATCTCCAAAACCGTTCTGATATGAAATTGTGCATAGTCTAATATCATGTTGCACATACAATGTATATGACAGGACTGGATTAATGTAATTTTGGAACTCATCGAATTTGACAACATGATTGTTTCACAAATTGTGTTGTTTTTTTAAACCAAGAACAAACTTAGTTTCAACTACTTTCTGTCCTTGCAACTCACTGAGAAATCCAATAGATAATTCAAAAGTGACTTCTTTACCCAAAGAGCAATTAGAATGTGATAGGCTGGGACTTTTTTTTTTCCACTGGAGCATAGGAGGTGACCTTACAGAGGTTTATAAAATCATGAGGGGCATAGATAAGGTGAATAGCAAAGATTGTTTTTTCCCTAGGGTAGGGTAGTTTAAAATTAGAAGGTATATTTTTTTTAAGGTGAGAGGAGAAAGATTTAAAAGGGACCTGCAGGGCAACTTGTTCATGTAGAGAGTCATTTGTACATGAAATGAACTGCCAGACGACATGGTAGATGCAGTTACAACACTGAAAAAAAATTTGGACAGGTACATGAATAGGAAAGGTTTAGAGGGATATGGGCCAAATGCAGGCAAATGGGACTAATTTTTAGTTTAGGAAACGACCAGCATGGACAAGTTGGACTGAAGGGTTTGTTTCCACGTTGTATAACTATGACTCCAATGGTTGAAATCAGTACTACACATGCAATTAAGGGGAAGCTAGACATTCATGTATGGGAGAAGGAAATTGAGGGTTACTGTGTTAGATTTAGATGAGGAAAAATGGCAAGATGCTCAAGTGAAACACAAAAGTCAGCACAGACTCTGGGGTCAAATGGCTCTGTTTAGGGCCACATATCATTAAGTATTCTTGCGTTATTCAATCACTACTTGAATTAACACCACCCACAGTCATGACTAAGTTTGCCATTCACATCCTCATACCTTGGCTCTTTCCAGGCTTTTCCTCTGTTCATGGAATGCAGCTGGACTCTTCAGTGCTGGAATAATAAACAAAACAAATCCAAATTGATTAGCAGGAAGATCAATATCTCCAATTCCAGTTTGCAAAATGACCCATAATTACATGTGAACATATACTTGCTCTAGTCAATCTCACAGGATGCCATGCTCAGTTCCTTGATTCCACAAATTGTTTCCCTGTGACAGAAACTGAAAATTGACCTCTTTCTAATGTAATAACATATAATCAACACTAAATTATACTGTACTTGTAATCATAGCATCCTTCCATGAAAACAAAATCTACCCTTGGACATGTAGCACACATTATGGCAGCATTAATGATTTCAGACTTAAGTTGACCTAAAATGCATTGTTCCACGTTTAATCAAAACCTTGAAATGAGCAACTTGCTGGAATTTCTGCATAACTCACCTGCTGAAATTCGTCCTGCAATATTGAACACAACTTTCAGGTTATTTAGGCACTGAAAATTTTATAAAAATAACTGTCTGCTTCTTCAAGATATTTCTGCAGTGAAAAGAGAAAACTGTTTTGTCATCCAGTAAATCTAAATTGCTGTCAAAACACTGGTGTCAATCACTGTAGAAAATGCTACGATTTAGCACAACTCTTGGCTACTCTTGTTGGGAACTGCACCTCTCCAAAGAGCAATCTACTCCAAACATTGCTTTTGAAGAATTGGCTGTTCTTAACTTATGGGCTGGAGGGTGAGGTTGAGGTCAAGTTGATGTCACATCCTGGCCCTCTTCATAGAACTCAGGTAGGTTTCTCAAGTCATAGAGTTATAAGACATCCTACAGAACTTTGCTGTGTAATGAGCCAACGTGATCTGCGAATAGTTAAATTGATTATGAAAGCGGTTAAGTTGCATTTGGAAATTCTCTGTTCAACAGTTACTCACATTTTAACACTTAAAGAACTGTATCTGAGAAAGTTCCTCATATTTGCAAAACAGCATTAATTGTAGCTTTCCACAAAGATAATAACAGCACATCCAGTATATATCACTCATAAGCCACAAAGACAAGCACCTCCTCATTACACTGTGGTTTCTTTTAATGTATCAGTCCTTTGCTGGTATGATCCTTATCTGTTCACCTGTCAGCTGTCATGAAGAAGAAACTAAATTACAAAGTTCTAGCTGCAGCAAAGTTATCTCCACTGGATTTTCTTGGTTTCTGATAGTTACCTTTCAAACTCGGTGAAGTATTTTATGGAACTGCACCTTCTTTGTGCACGTTACACTTACATACATTAACACAGATGTCAGTCGTGATTATTTAAAAAGTGAAAATAAAGATCGATGGGCAATTAGAAATATAGCACAATATTGGTCAAGAAACTGCATTTTCCCCAGATCTTGGGCACGAGGAGGGTAGGATAGCAGGAGTTGCCCTCATGTTTTTTAAATCACTAGCCAACGGCTGGTGTCAACGGAGTTTCTGACAGGCAGCTTATTGATTCTGGTAATGAGGATTATTGACTGGCCAGGGTGATAAGCAGAAACTGGGGAGGAAAAGAGCAGTTGATGTATGGTGGCCCTCAGCTCTTTGCGGATTTATTTTGTAGATGAAAGGAGAAGGATGTCCCTTGCAGGTTCACACAAAAACAATACGACTTCAATGTAAAGTAAGTGAGAAAGTTAGTTTCCTCCTCTTAAGGACCAATGGCTTGACTGCTGGGCACCTGAGAGTATTACAAGTCACTTCCTGGGGATGATGGCTGACAAAGTTTTAAAGAGGTCCTGAAAGAAGTGTTTCATCCCTATCTGCATGGACAGAAGGATCATGCTCGTTTCAGACTTTGGGCACTGACATCTATGTAGAAACCATTGCCCACATGCTAGTCAGTGCATTGCTCACTGAACTCATCCTGCACTGACTCAACATACTCACGACAGAGATGGGGTCTGTGGGTTAAAATGGGGGGGGAGAAGAGGAGGAGAGGAGATTGGGTAGAGTCAACTCTTTGCACCTTCTTTGTTCCAATTTAAGCCTACTGAACAACTCTCGTATGCCCAAAATAGTCACCTGAGGCCACACAAAGTCTGATGCATTGAAATAGAGTCACACTGGGAAAACATTTGGAAAGCATTGCCCATAGAATGTTCATACTTTATAAGAATGTGATAACATGAATGAGAATATAACCATACAATATTGTTACATATTACAAGCCTATGTCGCTACATTACTCACAATGTTATCACCATATTGCAGTAGAATGGCAATATATTGCTACTCACACAAAGCAATATGATTTTTCCCTTGAGCATCAGAGGCTGAGGGGTGACCTTATGGCCGTTTATAAAATCATGAGAGGTAATGGATAGGGTGAGTAGTCAAGATCTTCTCCCCCAAGGTAGAGGAGTCCAAAACTAGAGGGCTTAGGTTTAACGTGAGAGGGTAAAGATTTAAAAGGGACCTAAGGGGCCACCTTTTTCACATAGAGGCTGGTGGGTATGGAATGAACTGCTGGAGGAAGTGGTGGAGGTAGGTACAATTACAGCATTTAAAGGCATTTGGCTGACCATATGAGTAGGAAAGGTTTAGAGGGATATGTGCCAAATGCTGGCAAATGGGACTAGATTTATTTAGGCTACCTGGTCGGCATGGATGAGTTGGACCGAAGGGTCTGTTTCCATGCTGTAAATCTCTATGACTCTATTTTATTTCTTGCAGATCTTAGCTCTCTCTGTGTCGGTTTGAGTGAAGAAGTGGAGAGATGTCTCACTTCGGCACCCCTCATGCACATCGGAAGTGGATATCAGAAAATGTGACACCTCCAAACTTTAATTTTCCATCCATTGATTTTAATAGCCCACTTTCCCTGTACTTGCTCTTGCACTGTGATGGATTCCAAATTGCACTTCTAATATCATTACAAGATAAGAACAGCATGCAGCACTAGATGGTAAGTGTTCATAGGTCATCGTCAAGGCAAGAGCAAACTGGGTCCTGGAAAGACCGTGCTTAGGTTTGAATTTGTTTGTCGCCGATGTTCACACATTGGAGCAGATCATGATTGAGTCAAAACACTCAACAGAAAAGTCAATGGCTATAAATATGAGAGAGATTAAGGCACAAATTTTCAGTTCTGGACTACAAGTTTGAGGATGGACGTGAAAATGAGTGTCACTTCCTATCGGAACAGGTTGGCTTCTGTGGAGCAACGACCTGGTTGTCAGCTCATTACATACGCATGCACAAGGTACATGGTGAATCTTGTGGGAGGGAATGGCAGGAAGTTGACAGTCATGGGATCAGAGGTCCTGGTGTCATACCAAAAGAGTATCCAAATAGGCATGCATTCCCTGTAAGCAGGAGAATTACTTGGGCTCTGAGAGCGGTCGCCTTCAGCCAAGCATCTAGTCCTTACCCCCGTCAGCCTGCCTCCCTTCCCCAGAGAGATTTCCATCCTTGGCTTGCTTACTTTACCCATATCCAATATACTCCAGCTTTCCTCTCTCAGATATTGAGTGGATCCCATGCAATGTAGACTATACTACCTCCTCTTAATCAAGACGTGGTACAGACTAACACTCCCCAAAAAGGACAAACCAACTGCTATTCACTTCAAACTTCTGGAAGTTTACCACCTCACCTGCTGAAGGCCACTTCTACACAGTCAGGAATCCGAGGGCATGTCCTGCTTGCTCACAGAGAACTTAAAATTGTGAAGAGGAACTTCATTCTGGTGAGCCAACCTTTTCACGAGCATGCACAACATGCAAGTAGGCTTCCTGACACTTGCTGTTTGGAAGCTTGACCCACCATTAATGTCAGAAAAAGTTAATTGCAAACTTTCCTCCTGCCACTGGGAATCTGATTGTTAACCAATATCCCAAGCAAGTTCACCGTCTGCCTTGCTTCTGGCTCTCAGAAGTAGCACAAGATTCTGCCTGTAAAATGGGATACTGACACACAAAGAGTTTGCACCATCAAGATTTATTCCCACTGTCTGTGACCTCCGAGTTTATGATTTTTTCTCTAAGGTCCATTTTGCTTCACTTTCTACACTAGAAATACAATATTCCATATTTACCAGAACCCTTAGAGACATCCTATTGCATGTCAAACAGAAGAGTTGCATATTTGTTTGAAGCTCAGTGACTGTTAATATGCAGGAGCTATTTCGTAGACAGCAAGATTGCCCAAACAATGTTGAGCTGAATGACATGCTATCTGTTTGCATGATGTTGACAGAGGGAGGAATGTTGATTAGATCAGGATGGGAGCACCCAGAGTGTGGATAAAACATGGCATGAGACTTCCACTGTTCACTCAAACTCATACAGAGCCTTTGGTTAATACAATATTGCAAATAGTCATTTGATAGCACAGAACTCAAATGCCACTGAAAAGAGAGACATGTCGTCAAAGCTTTGCATTGTTCATGCAAGAATGTCAAATTTCAAATGATCAAAACAATTTATACCGCAGCAGAAAAAAAGGTGTTGCAGGAAAGTAAGGGTTGTCAACGTGACTGATTAGCTTCCCATTGCCATGGTGAAAAGAACAGGGAAGTGTAGGCTTCCCGAGTTCCTGGGTAATTAGTTTCATTTGCTGTTACTATACAAAATATATCTTAAATACTGGGACACATTTTCTCCACATAAAAAGAATATGTTGCAACTTTGCTTTTTTTTTTAATTACCCAGGATCCCCGGCAACCTCCAGCTCATTGCTGCTTTCTTCACAGCAATGCCTCAGTTAATTGGAGCCAACTTTCCTATTAATCAGTAAATTGCTCTACCATGTTGATAACAGGGTGGTCTCGTGGTAATGTGATTGGGCTAGTAATCCACAACCTCAGGCTTTAAGGCTTGAGGGACCTGAATTCTAATCCCACCATAGCAGATGGTGAAATCTGAATTGAATCAAGCCAAAAAAAAAAATCTGAAATTAAAAGTTAGCCTAACGATTACTGATGGACATAAAATCACATCCAGTTCACTAATCTCCTTTAAGGAAGGAAATCTGCTATCCTTACCTGATCTGGCCTATACATGCCT